CAGTGTAAACAGGAGAGGGGGCAAGGTCAGGTCAGCACCCCCTCTCCTCTGGCCCTCAGCAGTTCAGCAAAACTCCTCAAGTGACCCTCCAGCCCAAATAATTGCCCATCCCCAGCAAAAGAGCATGCACAGGCAGTAGACAGGACCATTCTCTCTCTGCCCAACAAGAGGGGACTCTTTGGCAAGGCATCCCGTTCACCAACACTTCGTCTCCCCTGGCACAGGCACTAGCCCTAAGTTCTGAAACAACAATTTTCTTGACTTGCTTTTACTCTCTCCTTGGAACCGTTTGTCTGGGCTTTCAACCATATCTACACTGGTGCATAAGTTGAGGCTTCAGTAGTTAGTGAAGCACATCTGCTGAGGTCCACTCTGAAGGACAAACTGTGACATCAAAAACTAACTTTAAGTTCAACTTAGCTAGTTATACTGGGCCATGGTATCCAGAAGCCATAAAGATAACATGGCAAGTGAAAATGTTCTTGACAGGAAAGTGCAGGCACTTCCTTTGCATGGGCACATCAGCTCCTGAAGAATGCATCTCAGCAGGCTTAGTGAAGGCTTGAAACTCAGCAAAGGTCAGATGCTTTTGGCATTTTAATACACTTACAGGAATTACAACATGTAAAGAAAGGAGAGGATGTGCCTGTCTATCTGATGTTGTGATACATTAGATTCTTTACAAAGTAATGAAGAAATGAGCAGGGACCACGGCTGTCCTGCCAGTGACTTGTTCTTGAAGCATGAATGCTGCCTGCAAGGTGACACTGCCCGGGATGCTGTATAAAGATACTGCATCCTTCCAGTCTTCCTTGAATATTCCATACGCTGAGCTCTCCCTGCTTCAGCACCCAGTAGAGCTTGGCAAGAATCAGGTGGCTGGTTCCAAGATGGGCCTTAAAAGCAAAAGGAGCAGTGATGGCTCAGGACTGCTCTGTCTCACTCTTCCAAGCCAACAATAGGAAAGCAGAAGTGAAATGAAGCAGGACAGGGATCTTTGTAAACACCACTTCCTCTTTGCTTTCTGTCTCTCTCCAGATTAGCCTCCTGGACCAAAAAAAGAAGACTTTGCTGTGCACGGGGCTTAGTCCTTAGCACGCACAGTGCACACGTCCTATTGGATTACAGGGCAGAGTGCACTCACATGGCCCAGTTTGTCAGAGACCCAGCTGAGTCTCTGAAGAGAGAAGGAAACAAGGGAGGGCATGAGTGAAAGTAACCTGGATCTGCAGATTATGATCTGAATGTAGGACCTAGGATGCCATCTGGGTCTATGTGGGCAGAGAAACAGGGACAGAATTTGGGCCCTTCTTCCTGTATGGAGAATACACAAGGTAATAGCAGCTCAGGGTACCAGTCTGTAGACTAGATACATCCAGACTCTTGCGTGCCCTCAAAGATGTGGGAATGTGACCTGTTACACCTGAGATCTTTTGAGGTCTCAAAGCGAGGACGAATGATCACCTGGGACAGGGTTTCCATTGGGTTTCTCTCTGTTCTCTTGGTATAGAATTCAGGTCACTAACAAAGATTTTTCCGCACTGAATTAGCAATGAGTAGCTGTTCTCCTTGGAGCACTTCATTTACAGCACTCCAACAGTGCCACAGGATTTTGTTCCGAGGCCCACCCAGTAAGAAAGTGTTTGTCCCCTAAATCATACCCCACCTCAACTGGCTCTTCCTCTCCCTCCTTTCTTATCTCTCACATTCAAATACTTCACTTCACCTCCCACACACACTGCTGATTTTGGTTCCTGACTTTTCACTTGAATGGCCAAAGAAAGATACCATTCCAAAACATTATCAGCCTCTATGCCTGAAGCTGCAGGAGAGTTTTTGTTATCTGCTAGTAATAGTATCATAGTACTCAGGGTTGGAAGGGACCTAAACAGATCATCAGGTCCAACCCCTTGCCCCGGGCAGGAACGGGTGCCAGGATCATATCACCCCAGCCAGATATCTGTCCAACCTCTTCTTGAAGACCCCCAAGGTAAGAGAGAGTACTACCTCACTTGGGAGCCCATTCCAGAGCCTGGCAGCCCTAACTATAAAGTAATGTCTCCTGATGTCCAGCCTGAACCTTCTCTCTAACAATTTGTGGCTGTTATTCCTAGTAACGCCGGGTGGGGCAGGGGTTCTATTCTATGGGTATCTATTCTATGGGCTTGCAGGAGAAGACAGAGTCCACCTACTAAGGCAGCTATGCGAGCACTCCGCTACAGACATGCTCCTCAGAGAGCACCTGGGATCTCTCTCATATCAGTAACAACTGGCACTGGGTTGGAAACAGAAAGACCCAACTATGAACATGAGTTACCCGGAAATCCTTCCTCTTGTTATTACAAAGAGTCTTCCACAGGACCTACAGACCTGGTCCTACAAACCTCACCCCAGAAATGCTCCTAACTTTTAAAAATAAGTTAAGTAAAGCCTGCAGGATGTGGCTCAGTGTCTCCAACATTCACAGCTGTGAGTACCAGCTCAAACCTATTGCATTCAGATTAATCATGAAGAAAGAGCATGATGCTGGAAGCAACAGGGCAGTGAGACCCAGAAGCTGCACAAAGGGGAGGGCAAGATGAGGACACTGGATGAGGTGACTCATCTGTGATGTCCTGTGGAGCCATCTCACTCCTCAGGCTTTGATGAATCTTCCAGGCTTTATGCAGCCCAGTCCAGACAGAGAAGGGGGTGAATGGCAGAGAAACATCCTTTTGTGTCTGCAGATCAGTGGCACAAGAACAGGCAAGCAGATTTTGAAGTGTAAATGAGATCCCCCCACAGGCCCAGGCAAACAGGGGAAATCAGCCACAGGAAGCTGCTTTCCTCCCACTCCTCTTGCTTAGCCAATTCTCTCTCTCTGGTATGAAGCCACCAGGGTGCACAGCAAGCAGTCTGAAGGTGAGGAAGCAGAAGAGAAACAGAGATTATTGTGCAGGGCTACCATACTACTGTCACTGACCTGAAAGCCTAAGTTTAAAATCTGCTTTTACAGGCTCAATAAGAGGTGTTAAACTCACCTGCGCCACCAGACAAGATCCAGACTACAAAGAGCCTCCTGGGCCAGATTCTGACCTGGCTGTAGTGGTGGGCCAACTGCAGCTCAGTGGTGGGCAGTGGCATGCAGCTCAACAGAGTCATCACTTGCCTCCCATCACTGCCAACATGCATGACCAACAGGGCTCCATTGATGGAAATCTAGTGGCAGGTTCTGGCTCCTTTTTCCCTGCCCTCAAATTCCCAACCCCACTGCCTAATACAGCCCACAGGCCATACATTTGACAGCACTGTACTAGACCATCCTACACAGCAGAACTCAGAAGCTAAGTCAGTTAGCATCAGTTGCAAGCAGGCAAGCCAGACCTGAGAACGCAGTGGGGCTGCACATCACCTGAGAATGAAAGACTTCCTGGCTCGTTGGAAGATCCCGCTTTCACTTTAGATTTTTGTTCATATTCAGCTGCACTGGACTGTGGGAGGCACAACAAGAGGGTCTGTCTACGTGCTGGAGCTTGGGAGGTCTTGGAGGATGTACTCAAGAAGCTGGAGAACTGCCAGGAACCCCCTCCAAGCCAGATGTCCATAGAGCAATGTCTCCGTCTCTGCTCAAGCAAACTGTTGCCAATACTACAAATACCTAGCCGTCTGCAGTCAGAGCCTGGTACCTTTCGATGAACTATCAGTGTGTTTAACCTTATGCAATGCAAGGGGCAGGAAAGCCATGAAGGAGCTCCCTGCAGGACACCCATCACAAGGCCACAGAGTTCCCCGCTTAGCACCATTCACATCCATTTTTTGCTCAATATGATGCAGCTGCCAGCCAGCCCCACAGGGCTCCCTGCTCAGTCCCCATCACTTGAGGCTATCAACCCACCCCCCAGCACCACCCCACTATCTGCACTACAGCCATTCCTTGGAGTCGTGCAGAGCCCCGTCCAGCACAATCCAAGCATGAGGCTCACTACCCGTGTTGGCAGCACTCCCAGCCCTGTACCACATGTGTTGGGTCTGTGGCTGTGGAGTCCAGAGACCCTTTGCCAGATCAAACCATGAGGCATCAGCTGCCACAGCGCTCCCGCAGGGCCTCGGCCACACCTACCCACCCATCACCAGAGGCCAAGGGGAGCTCACATTAAGTCTCCCGCCTGCCACTGGGATCATGGTCCTTGTCTTGAACCCATCTCCTGTCTGGCTGGTGCTATCAGGGCCTGGAGTTGAGACGAAGGGGGGGGACCAGAGGCACTAGGATGTGGGGACGCAGCAGAAGCCTCAGCCTTGTCAAACCCAAGCAGCCACCAGCTCCCAAGCCCACATCTTTCCACTGAGCCCCGGTTTGCCACAACTGTGTGGCTCCCTGGGACGACAGCGCCAGTGCCCTAGGACCCCAGGGCAGACTCCCCAGAGGAGCTGGGGCCCCGGCTCCCGGGAAGAGCCGAGGGCGCCCAGCACCCACATCCGTGGCGCAGGGAGGCGTGGGGAGAGACCCTCGTGATAAGCCGGGGACGGGGCTGCGGCCGCCTGTGCCCACTCCACGGCACCCCC